GAGGTTCACTTGGGCTCAGAAATGGAACCCAACAAAGATTTTTTGCTTTAGTTTTCTCAAATGAGTCCAGCTCAAAAAAAGCCAGACACTGGAGGGCTCTCATCCAGAAGCATGAGGGTGAGCGTGGTCCCACAGGAGAGCAGATGGAGACAAGCACTGCAGAAGCTGGGGCTGGAGAAGCGGGGGTCACAAAGGCAGATGCCCCAGCCTGGTCTTAGAGCTAAGCTCTTTATTTGTTCCTTCCTTTGGCCTTCTCTCCCCTCATGCTCATTTTTGGTGCTGGGATGGAACCCAGGGTGCTGCACCTGGAGTACGTGCCCCCTGAGCTCCCCATCTTACTGACCCGAGCACCGAGCACCTGCATCCATCCAGGTGAGCAGCTGTCTGCATCCATTCCTCCTCCCTAACCTCTCACCCAACAGCTGGCTAAGTGAGTCCTCCGAATGACCTGCAGGTCCTGATCATTCTTCACTATTCCCACACCACTGCCTTACCCAGGACTTGGCTCCATCATTTTTTGTAGGGTACAGTACAAAATATGAAGACCTTCAAGACAGTAAATAAAGAGCATGAAACTAAGTACCAGACCCTTCTGAGTGGGGCCCTGTGCAATAACACACATGGCCTGGCCCTAAGCCCTCTCTATCCTTTGTCTGAACTTCTTTGAGCTTTCTCACTTCGGGCCTGCAGGCCTCACTTCTTTTTTTTTTTCCCTCTTTTTGAGACAAGGTCTCACTCTGCAATTCAGGCTGAATTTGAACTCAATTTGTAGCCTACACTGACCTCAAACTCACAGCAATCCGTCTGCTCAGCCTCCAGAGTACTAGGATTATAGGTGTGTGCTCCTGCACCGATTTTTTTTTTTGTTTGTTTGTTTGTTTGTTTGATTTTTGTTTTTTAATCGTTTTGTTTGTCTCACTCAGTAATTTAGCTGGCCTTTAACTTACTATGTAGCCTAGGTTGGCCTTGAATTACAGCAATCCTCCTGCCTCAGCTTCCCAACTGCTGAGGTTACAGGCATGCACCACCTCAGCTGGCAATGTTTTATTTCTTTTCTTTCTTTCTTCTTTCTTCCTTTCTTTCTTTTTTAGACAGGGTCTCTATGCACTTGAGGCTGGTCTTGAGCTCACTTTGTAGCTCAAACTGGTCTCTAACTCACAAAGATCCTCCTGCCTCAGTCTCAGTTGCTGGAATTACAGGTGTGCACCACTACACCCAGCTCAATGTTTTCTTTCTTTCTTTTTTGTCTTTTTGAGAGAGGGTCTTTCTATGCAGTTCAGGCTGGCCTTGAGCTCACTTTGTAGCCCAGGGTGGTCTTGAACTCGCAGTGATCCTCCTGCCTCAGCCTCCCAAGTGCTAGAATTACAGGTGTGAGCCACTACGCCCGGCTAATGTTTTATTTCTTATAGCAATTTGACTACAAATTTCCCCAAAGCCTTCTGCTAAAACCTGGCCAGGCAGGGTGGTGCTTTCATAGAATCCCAGCTACTCTGAAGACTGAGACAGGAATATAGCAGGTTCAAAGCCAGCCTGATCAATGTAGCAACATTGTATGTCAAAATGTAAAGGAAGTCTCTATGATCATTGTGATCATTTTGTGTACTGATCAATATATACCAATAAAATCTAATGTAAAAAAATTTAGGGGGCTGGGGATTTAGCTCAGCAGCATAAGTACCTGCCTGCAAGCAGGCAGTCATGAGTTTGATCCCCGGTACCGATAAAAAGGAAAAAGACAAAAAAAAAAAAAATTTAGGGCCAGGGGTTTAGCTGAATGGTATAAGCACCTGCCTGGAAAGCACAAGGTCATGAGTTTGATCTCCTGTACCAAAAAAAAAAAAAAAGTTTAAAGTGAATGGGGGTTACTGGGTGTGCAGCTCAGTGGCACAGCACTTCCTCAGCAGACATGAGGATGAGTTTAATCTAGAAGTGCCAAAAAAAAAAAAAAAAAAAAAAAAAAGGAAGAAGAATCAAAAACGGAAATCTCCAGTTTCTTGACATGATACACAGGCCCTCCTGGGTCCCTCTCTTGTTTGCCTTTCCAGGCTCTTTGTTGCTTCCTCATACCCCCTGCTGGATCCATGCACTGAGCCACACCCCCAGAACCCCCTTGACTGACTGATTGACTGATTCATTCATTCATTCATTTTTATTTGGAGGAGCATTGTTGAATTACCCAGGCTGAGCTCGAACTTGGAGTCCTCCTGCCTCAGCCTCACAGAGTGCTAGGATCCCCTGCTCCCTTTATCTGGAATATCCTGCTGCCTATCTTTAAGAAAAATTACTGTTTATCATTCAAAAGGCAGCTCAGGCATTCCCTGTGAATCCTTTCCTGACCAACACCTACACAGCTTGCTCCTTTTCTCTTAGTTCCTGATATACTTTTTCTTTTTATTTTGTTTTATTTTTATCTTATTTTATTTGGTACCAGTGATTAAATTTACAACCTCATACTTGTCAGGCAAGAACTTGTGCTGCTGGGGGCTGGGGATTTAGCTCAGCGGCATAAGCGCCTGCCTTGCAAGCAGGCAGTCGTGAGTTCGATCTCTGGTACCGATAAAAAGGAAAAAGACCAAAATAATAATAATAATAATAATAATAACTTGTGCTGCTGAGCTGAATTCCCAGCCCAGTCCATGATATACTTTAGTGCAAACCTCAATACTTTTTTTGTTTGTTTTTGGTACTGGCAATCAAATTCATGATCTTGCACTTGCCGGGTAGGTGCTGTGCCACTGAGCTATATTCCCATCCCTTTTATTGGTATTTTAATTTTTTCTTTCTTTCTTCCCCATCTCCTTTTGGTGGTGCAGGAGATTGAACCCAGGGCCTTCTGCATTCAAAGTAAGAGTGCTACTGCTGAGCTGTACCCCTGGCCTGGTACATTTTAGATATACACAGTAACATTCTTCATTAAAAGAATGTGTATATGATATTTGTTTTCTGTTTTTTGTTTTTTTTCTGAGACAGAATCTTGCTTCATAGTTCAGGTGGGCCTTGGATTCACTATGTAGCCCAGACAGGCCCAGAACTCAGTGATCCTCCTGCCTCAGCCTCCCAAATACTGGGATTCCTGGTATGCGCCACCACCCCCAGCTTTACATGATACATTTTGCTGCCTTTTTTCTTATTCTTATGCCTTCCCTTAAGCCTCTCTTTCTCTCTTTATTTATTTTCTTTTTTTTCTGGTACCAGGAATCAAACTCAGGACCTCACACATGTCAGACAGGTGCTGTACTCTGAATTATATCACCAGCCCTTCCCGTTTTTATTTAAAAAATGTTGTTTCCATTTGTTGCTTCTATTCTTCTTTTTTCCTCTGGTTCCTTTCCCCCTGCCTTTAGTCCCTTCTCATTTGAACATTTTCTTCACGTTTCACAATAATATCTATTATATATTTTGGCCCTTTTTTACATTTCTGGTTTCTCCCACCAGAGAAACGATGTGGTATTTACACGTGTCCGATTTATTTCACTTGAGTATGGTCTCAAAGTACATTCATCTAGCTAGTACACTAGTTCATTAGTGTATTTTTTTCTTTCTTTCTTTTCTTTTTTTTTTTTTTTTTTTTTTGTCTTTTTTGAGATGAGGTCTCACTATGCAGTTCAGTATGGACTTGAACTCACTTTGTAGCCCAGGTTGGTCTCTAACTCACAGCAGTCCTCCTGCCTCAGCCTCCCAAGTACAGGATTACAGGTGTGCACTACCCTGCCCAGTTTTGCTGCTGTTGCTGCTGCTGCTTCTTTTCTTCCTCCTCCTCCTCCTCCTCCTCCTCCTCCTCCTCTTCTTCTTCTTCTTCTTCTTCTTCTTCTTTTGAAATTATAAATATTTTAAACTGTGATTGAGAAACAAAATTCAGGATATTATATAGGTACTTACTATGACCATTTAAAATGTAATCTTTTTTGTGTGTGTGTGGTGTTGGGGATCAAATTTATGGTCTCCCACATTCTAGGCAAGTGCTCTACCACTGAGAACTGAACAATACCACCAGCCCAAAATGTGTAACCATTTTCTTTTTTCTTTCTTTTTTTTTTTTTCTACTTAATGTATAAGGCATTTCTAGGATTATTATTTGGTGAACTTTTTTTTTTTTTTTTTGAGACAGGGTGTCTCTCTGAGGCCAGGCTGGTCCTGAACTCCCTCTGTAGCCCCAGGCTGGCCTTGAGTTTTCAATGTTCTTCTTGCCTCAGTCTTCCCAAATGCTGGCATTACAGGCATGCACCACTGCACCCAGCTCTTCCCCTCCCCTCCCCTCCCCTCCCCTCTCCTTTCCTTTCCTTTTTTCTTTCTGATGGTTTTGGGGACTGAACCCAAGGCCTTCACATTAAACTACATCCCTACACTTTTTTTGTGTGTGTGTGACATTCTCACTAAATTGCCTGGTGTGTAAACATTTCAAAATGCGAAAAATAATATGGTACTACACACTAGTTGGCTACTCAGGAGGTGGAGTCAGGTGGATCGTCTGAGTCTAGGAGTTGGAGGCCAGCCTGGGCAACAACAAACAAAAAGAGGTGGCGAGCCAGATTTGGTTCCTCTGCTTTAAGGGACCAATTAAGCATTTTCGTATTTACATAGTTGTCTTCCTCACTAGACTGTGCACAAGGCCTTGTATCAGACCTTCTAATACCTTCATTGTGTAGCTTAGAATCTGGTGCACAGTAGGTGCCTCATAGAGATTTGTGGACTGAATGAATGAGTGAAGGAAGGAAGGAACAGGAGCCTGAGTCCCTGCAGGAAATGAAACCAGAGTCTTAGATGCTTCTTTTCCCAGCTCACTCTTTTTTTTTTCTCCCTCACTCTTTTTAATCCATCTTTGCTTCTCAGATGTGTTAGAATGTCACAGGGCACCTCTGGCTTGAACAATCCGCAAACTCTGCGGAGAAGAAAAGCAGTGTTACCCTAAAACAAGCCAGAGTTTCTAGGGTTCCTCCAAGTGCTCTAGGAACCCTGTTTTATCTTTCAGTCCCTTGAGAATTGGCCCAGACCATCTGAAGACTGTCTCCATGTCTCAAGAGTTTTCAGCAGTGATCTTATAGGTGTCTTGCCACACACAGAAGGGAAGGAAGCAGCATGGGTCTTGGGAAGGAAAAAGGTAAGAGTGAGACAGCTCTGGAGTAAGCAGCCGGGGGAATTTCAATAGAGAAGTCCAGATTTCACTAGTCAACAAAAAATGAGTAGGACCCACCAGAGCGGGTGGGGGAGGAAGTGGCTGAGGTTGGGTAACTGAGGAGTTTCTTAGTCTTTTAGTTAGTGCAACAGGAGACATGAGAGCAGACTACATCCCACTTAACGTCCGACTGCCTACCAGAAAGGATTGCTGTTAGGTGAGTCAGACTTCTCCCACTGGGGAGAAACTGAAGACAGAGACTAAGGTGAGTACTTGTCAGAGGCTTTGCCTCTGCTTCCCTGGTCTCCTCATCACGCAGGTGGTAACGAGCAGAAAACCCAAGGCCTTTGTGCATGTGTAACAGGAACGCTGGAGACTGTAGCAGCATCCTGAATACGAAAAAGGGGGATCCTGGCAGTCACTGCCAATGGCAAAGGAATTAGAAAGGTTGAAGGATGCTGGGTTTATTGAGATAATCTGGATGGATACTGAAGAGGCCTAGGGTTTGAGGAAGACAGATTTAAAACATATTTAGATAAGAGATTCTGATAAGAATTTGGAGAACTCTGAGAATAGGAAAAAACTAAGGGACTCTAAAGAGAGTTGAGGGCCATGAGATGAAGAGGTTTAAGAATGGCTTTAGGGGCTGGGGATTTAGCTCAGTGGCATAAGCGCCTGCCTTGCAAGCAGGCAGTCGTGAGTTCGATCCCTGGTACCGAAAAAAAGACCAAAAAAAAAGAGAATGGCTTTGGAGGCTGGTGAACTGAGGTGCTCCAGGAGCATTTGGGGTACTCAGAGACCCACAACTGTTCAAGAGATCTAAGCTGACGTCCAGGTTCTGGGACTGGAGATATTGTCAGTTCCTGCCTGGCAAGCACAAGGTCATGACTTCAATCTTCATTTAAAAAAAAAAAAAAAAAAGGACTAGATGGAAGTCCAGGTTCTTCTTTTTCTGGTCTTTTTTGAGACAGGGTCTCACTACACAGTTCAGGTTGAACTTGAGCTCACTTTGTAACTCAGGCTGGTCTTGAACTCACAACAGTCCCCCTGTCTCACCCTCCCAAGTGCAGAAGTCCAGGTTCTGACTCCCTCTTCCTCTTTCCCTTCCTGTCTTTGTCAGTCTCCACCATGCAGAACACCTCAGACACCACCTTTTCCTGCTACGACAAGTCTATACTGAGCTACCGATACATTGCTGTCAGCTGGGGGGTGGTGGTGGCTGTGACAGGCACAGTGGGCAATGTGCTCACCCTGCTGGCCTTGGCCATCCAGCCCAAGCTCCGGACCCGCTTCAACCTGCTCATCGCCAACCTCACACTGGCGGATCTGCTCTACTGCACCTGCCTCCAGCCCTTCTCCGTGGACACCTACCTCCACCTGCACTGGCGCAGTGGCGCCACCTTCTGCAGGATATTTGGACTTCTCCTTTTTGCTTCCAACTCTGTCTCCATCCTCACCCTCTGCCTCATTGCACTGGGACGCTACCTCCTCATTGCCCATCCTAAGCTCTTTCCCCAAGTTTTCAGTGCCAAGGGGATAGTGCTGGCGCTGGTGAGCACCTGGGTCATAGGTGTGGCCAGCTTTGCCCCCCTCTGGCCCGTTTATGTCTTGGTACCTGTAGTCTGCACCTGCAGCTTTGACCGCTTGAAAGGCCGGCCTTATACCACCATCCTCATGGTCATCTACTTTGTGCTGGGGCTCAGCAGTGTAGGCGTTTTCTATTGCCTCATCCATCGCCAGGTGAAGCGAGCAGCAAAAGCACTAGACCAGTATAAGCTTCGACAGGCGAGCATCCACTCCAAAGAAGTGGTGGGGATAGATGAGGCCATATCTGGTCATTTTAAGGAGCTGGACAGCAGGATGACACAAAAAGGGCCCAGTGATGGGATTTCGTCTGAGCCAGCCAGTGCTGCTACCACTCAGACCCTAGAAGAGGATTTATCAGAAGTGAGAGACCAGGCCAAGGACAACGTACCTAAACATCTGGAAGAGAAAATCCCTCCAGAAGAATCTGCCAAGTCCCAGCTGACTAAAGGAGCCCAAAGAGCTCAGGACTCTTCATCAGAGTTTACGAAGGTGACCCGAATGTGTTTTGCTGTGTTCCTCTGTTTTGCCCTAAGCTATATGCCCTTCCTGTTGCTCAATATTCTGGATGCCAAGGTCCGAGCTCCCCGGGTTGTTCACATGGTTGCTGCCAACCTCACCTGGCTCAATAGTTGCATCAATCCTGTGCTTTATGCAGCCATGAACCGCCAGTTCCGCCAAGCTTACAGATCCATCTTAAAGCGAGGACCCCAGAGTTTCCGCAGGCTTCGGTAGGACTGTGTCCCATCACTGGAATCTAGGACTGTCTTCTCCAGAATCAAAGTGGCCACTGAAATGACAATCTATAAAGTGAGGCCTGTGGACATTTTCACAGACACACCCTCTCCATCCTCCAAATGAAGTTTCTCCATCTTCTGATCAGTATTCAACCCTAGCTTACTCAAGAAGTACTGTCAATTTTTAATAAATTAATTTCATGCTTTTAATGTACAGGTGTGGTCTCTGAGAAAAAAGGAAATAGGGCAGGACTGAAGCCCAAACCTAACAGCTGAGGATTTGGGGGAACCTATGTCAGAGTAAGAATAGAGACCATCTGGCCAGGGACATAGCCTTCAGCTGAGAAATTTCCAGGTTATAAATGGTATATGTGATATAGCCAGGCATAGTAGCACATGCCTAGAATCCCAGCACTCTGGGTGGCTGAGACAGGAGGATCACAAATTTCAGCTAAGCTTCAGCAATTTAGCAAGAAATTTTCAAAATAAAAAATAAAAAAGGACTAGGGATGTAGCTTAGTGAGAAGGACCTGGGTTCAATTCCCAGTACCAAAAACACAAATAAACAAACAAAAGGAATAGTTATTTTGCCTTTTTTTTTTTTTTTTTTTTTTTTTTGAGGAAGGGTTTTGCTATGTAGCCCAATCTGGCCTCGAATTTATGGTAATCCTTCTGCCTCAGCCTCCCAAGTACTGGGATTACAGGCATATGCTACCATTCCCAACTACCTTGTCTTTTTGTTTAATATCTCAGAAATGGCACCTGACCCTAACTACTGTTGTCAGAATCCGTCATCCCTACAAACAGGTTTGTTCATTTCAAAAAAATTTAGTAATCCAGCTTTAATATCCACTCCAGTAAATCTAGCCCCCAGTCCTTGTCCTGTGCAAAGGCACCCTTTGTGGTGGATAAGGATCCCTTGCTCTCGGAGAAACAGAATTCAGCTTACTTGGCTTAGCTGAATTGAAGACAGACATAGGTTCCAGCTGCCCTAGCAGGGTCTCTCCCTTTAGGGCTAATTCACTAGGTCCACATCACACACACGCTAGCACCCTCCTCTTACTTATGAAAGAGGCTCTGGTTAGATGCTTCAAGGGCCAGGCTGGGGAAAACCACACTGTTCCTTCCCCTCCAGTACAACCAACATCTGGTTCCCGTAGGCACAAGCACCCATTGCTAAAAGGCACCTGTGACCACCAGGTGACGCTGGTTCTCTGTGTTTCCTTTCTGGCTTCCTGGTTGAGGGCAGGTAGTACCAGCAAAACTGCAAGTCCAGTGGATCTCCCTGCCTGACTTGAGGGTCAAAGATCCAGGGATCTGCACCCTCTTTACCCCAAAACTTAGGGGAAAAAGTGAAGAATAAGACTTTTTTTTTTTGGTACCAGAGGTTAAACTCACGGCCTTGCACTTGCCAGATGCTGTTCCGCTGAGCTACACCCCTAGCCTAGACTTTTATTTTTGATGAAATATTACTATCTGTGGTAGTTTTGCCAGGGCACAAGGCAGGCACTGGAGATGGAATGTGAGAGCCATACTGACAGTGAAACTTTTGGCTGCTGTACCCTTCCTACCCCCAAATCCATGGCTGAGAGAACAAGGTCTAGAGATCCAACAAGGGCAGGAAGAACTGCGGCTGGCGGGGTGTGGTGGCGCATTTTGGAGGCTGCGGCAGGTGGATCGTGGATCGTTGTGAGTTCAAGACTAGCCTGGGTTACAAAGTAAGTTCAAGGCCAGCCTGAACTACATAGTGAGACCCTGTCTCAAAAAGCAAACAAATAAATAAACAAACAAAAAACTGTGGCTAGGATGGACAAGACTGATCTTTTCACAGAAAACACCCCCTAAACCCAGGAATGCTGCCTCCTAATTTGTTTGCACCACCAGTTTCCAGATCACTCTGGGCGTCGGGTTTCATGATTTTTTTTTTCCCGGGAGTGGTGGTGATGGTGCGGGAGACAAGGACTTGCTATGTAGCCCAGGCTGGCCTCGAGCTCCCTGTGATTCTCCAGTCTCCCAAGTGCTGGGATTACAGGTATGCTACCGCCACAATCCAGCAGGTTTCATGATCTTTGTGAAGGGGCAAGGAAGCAGTAGGGTGCCTTATTCTCACGATTTGCAAGATGTAGATCCTACAAATTACAGTTTTGTGTAATCTTCCTAACAGTTCCATTAAATGCATCTATTAAAATCTTTCTTACAAATGAGCAAACTGAAACACAAATAGAATAATCTTCCCAAGGTCAAAAGGGCTAGTACACTATATGGCCATGATTTGAGGGCAGAGTTTAACCAGTACACATAGCTAATCACTATAGAACAGCTGCCTCACTGAAATTAGGATCCAGTCACCAAGCGATCCCTAACAGTCCTTCCTTCCTATTCAGACCTTCTTTTTTCTTTTTTTTTTTTTCCTATTCAGACCTTCTAAGATTCTGAAAACTGACAACTCCCTGAAGGGTTGTAAAAGGGTTCACTTTTCATATTTCTTGAAGGCAATTCAAAAGCTGTCTCAAGAGTAAAAGGCGCAGCAGCAATAAGGACTTAAATTAGACTTCCGGAAGGACTTCCCAATTATCAGTCACTGGAAAGTATGACTCAGGTGACATTTTTAAGAGAAGAAGTGACTCGGGGGACACAGGAAGAAACCTTGGGGACTGTGAGGCTACAGCAGACCGATATTAGCAAGAAAGTAACTTCCTTTTTTTCTCACGGATCCGCCGACCCCCATCCCCTTTAAAAAAGAACTGACTGCGGGGAAGGAAACGCAAGGAAAGCAAGGCTTTCTCCATGGTCTTGCGGGTGGCGTGGCGCCGGGGCAGCGTGCGCCCCTGGGGCCCTGTGCTGTGTGCTCGCGCGCGAGTCAGTGTCGTCTCTATCTCGCGCCGTCGCCCTCCTGAGCCGGGCTCTATCACTGACTTCCTGACACTATCTCGCGCGGCTTCTCTTTGTCTCCCTCCATCTGTCCGTCTCTCTTCCTGGAGGCTGTCTTCGTCTCCTGTACCTCCGTTATCACCCTTTTTCTCTCGAGTTCGCGTCTCTCTCCCCCGCCCCGCGCCTCGCTTTGCCTCTGCCTGTCTCCAGCCCTCGTCAGGTTCGCCGCCCGCACCCCCCGCCCCCGCCTCTCTTGCTCGTCCGCACACTCTCTCTTTTGCTGTCTCTTACAGGCAGATTTATGGTCAGCCCAGGGTCTTTCATTGGTCGAGCGCTGACAGGTCTTGATTTAGCGCCGCCTCTCATTGGCTAAACTTGACAGGCTGATTTACGAGTCTCTCTACCATTGGCCAAACCGCCTAAGCCCTGATTTATGGCTCTGTGGAGGCAAGGAGGGGGGCACAGCTACCAAGGGAGGACGCCCCTCCTCAAGCCGCCCCCCCAAGTGCCGTGCGCGCTCACTACCTATTCCCCAAGTCCCCTCCTCCCCTGGCCACCATCTGCAGGGAGGCCGAGGTCTGAGGGTGCGGCAGGGTCGGCTAGGGAGAGGAAAGGAGACAAGATGGGGAGCGCGAAGGGGAATCTGAGGGGCAAAAGAGCGACACAAAGGGCTCAGGAGAAAGAAAGCCAAAGGAGAGAAGAGGCTGAGGAGAGAAAGGGAGCCGGGCTGAGAGAAGGCGCGTTTGAGGGGCGAGCGGGGCTAGCTGGCTGCAGCAGGGGAGTGGGTACTGAGAGGGCACTTGGCAGAACTTCACTGTCCAGACCAAATGAGAGACAGAAATTTCGACAACGGCTCTGAGAGGGAAATGCTTAGAGGAGCAAAGGTGCAAAAGAGGCGGGTGGGAGGGAGAGGCGGGAAAGGACAGCTGGAAGGCAATAGCCGAGAAAAGAGAGATGTAGAACGGTAGAAACGGGTTTTTGGTTTTCATTTAAGGAGAGGGCGTGCAGTGAGAAAAGATCAACCCCCAGAGAAGAATACTGAGCAAAACGGCTCCTTCTCCTCCACAAGGACCCGTCGGCGTATCCCCCAGGAGGTGTCCTGCTTCCTCCAGGCTGCGGTGGTCTCCTCTTGTCCTGTGCTTCACTCTTACTCACCTCCCCAGTGAAATTTACGAGTTCAGGATTGGCCTTCAGGAATTAGGAATATTTATGCTTGTTTGAGAGTGAGATTTGGGAGGTGATAAATAAGGGGTCATTGCGAGATGCAGCTGGGGGCTCCTATTTTTAACAAGGCCACTTTCCAAGGCCCCCACCAGCCTTTTCTCTTTCATCTAGAGCCAGAGGAGGAGCACTAGGGGATGAAGAATGGGTTTCAGATATCAGGAAAGGGGCTTGATGATTCTGGAGAACCCCTCTGAAGCCTGCAGAGCTTTGTAGCAGAAAGGCCCAAAGGCAGCTAGGGGAGGAACTTTCCAGGCATCCTGGCATTCTCAGAACCCCTGAGTACAGTTGCAATATCTGTAGAGAGCCTGCTTCCCTTCTGCCCCCTAAGCTCAGTTGCTGAGGAGGAAGGGGGAGGAGCGAGGAATTCAGAGCCAGGTTTCTCTGGCCTGTCACCTCCCTCACAGGGAGAGGAAGATTTGAAATCTCCCATCTCCCACAGCCCACAGCCTAGATCCCTGGGAAAGGAGGCTAAGAATGTGGGGATCAGGGCATCTCCTAGGAGCCTCAGACCTCAACCTGTCCACCCCCACTGCTGGCTGAGAATTGAAAACAGCCAGTACTTCTTGACACCCCTTGCCCTGGGCCTCCAGGAAGTGAGGGAGGGAGGAAGGATCTGCTTGTAGATGCACATGCCTTCCCCAGCTTTCAGCGTCAAACTCATGTAACCCCTCACCACTGCCCAGCCATAGCACTTGGCCTGAGTCTGAGTAGGTAGTGAAAAAAGATGGGGATCATGATGTAAGGGACTCTAAGGAGAACAGGGAGCTGGAAACAGTCTACACCCCTACTATGCCTTCTATCTACTTTGGCTTTAGCGAGAATGGCTCCAGTGCACATGTATGCACATACCAGACTGCTGCCTGGAGTGGGAGGAGGGAGAGAGAGAGAAGGGTCTAGACTGGCCCTTTAAGAGGCACTTAGGGTCAGAAAGTCTGGGCTACAGAGAGGGGAAGGAGCTGATGTCAGAAGACGGATGGGCAGCAAGATGGGGATTGATGCTAATGGGGGAGTTAAAGCTAAGTACCCAGACACTCAGAGGGCAGAACTGCAGATCTGTCTTCCTTATGCTTAACCCCCCCACACCCAAACCAAGGCTGTAAATCTGCCTCCTCAATTGGGGGAAGGGGGAGTAATGAAAAAAAGAGTCTCTTTTTCTCCCTTTTCCTGTTTCTTCCTTACCCAGCGACTACCTCCCCAATCTTTGTGTCCTCTCCCAATCTGTCCACCCCATCTATAACCCCTTACCACTAACATTTCCAACTTTCGACTTTTCATCAGACATTGAATGAATGGTTTCAGTTTGCAGAGGAGTTTGAGAGGAGACTGTAAGAAGTTTTTGTCACCAGACAGGGATGGAGATGGGTTGGGGGGGTTTATGTTGAGATTATAGTTTAGAAATGTCCATTTACCTCACTTTCTCTTCCTGCCACCCTCTTATCACCCAGGACAGTGGGATGAAGGCAGGAAGTTGGATGTTGGATGCTAGGAGTTGAAAGGGCTGTGAACCTCAGGGCCAAGTGCGTGGAGGCCTCTGAGGCACTGAGATTCCTGAGGGCCTGTGGTGGGGCTCCAAGGGCAGCTGCACTGCGGGAGATACACAGTTGTTTCTCAGAAACTCTTGAAGCACACTAATCCCTCTGCTTCAGCACACACCCTGTCTACTGAACAGAGACAATTTCAGGCTAGCAGTATATTTACTGCAAAGCCAGGGCCTGGCTGTTCCTTTCGTGTTAGGAGTTGGGGAATCTCCAGGAGGAAGGCTTTCTCAAAAGAGTTTGAGCTAGTCACCTTTGGCAAGTTCTTTCCTCACTTTCAAGACCCTTATTTTCCTCTCTAATAGCAATCTGGACCTGTTCTTTTTTGGGAGGGGGCAGGAGAGTTTGCCAGGAATTTAACTCAGAACCTCATGCTTGCCAGGTGGACACTGTCACTAAGCTAAAACCCTAAGGCTGGAACTGTTCTTGAAAAGTCCCTCTTTGGGGCTGGGGATTTAGCTCTGAGGCATAAGCGCCTGCCTTGCAAGCAGGCAGTTGTGAGTTTGATCCCCGGTACTGATAAAAAGGAAAAAGACAAGAAAAAGAAAAATCCTTCTTTATATTAAGAGGAAGTTCCCATATATCTCATCTGTTGTAGTATTATAGCTGAATTCCTTCCTAGTCCTGGAAGCTCAGGAGGCAGAGGTAGGAAGATCATGAGTTTTGGGCCAACCTGGAGTACTCAATGGAGTTTAAGGTCAGTTTGAACTGCATGGTGAAATCCCTTCTCAAAAAAAAAGACAGGACCTCATCTTTTCCCTCCTCACAGTTTTCCTTCAGAGGCTAAAAGTCACCTCAAGGTCATCCTATTCACTGTTTTCAGAGTCCTCAGAAACAAGGAGAGAGCAAGGCTTGGGCAGGAAAAGTTGGAGTTTGGGAGCAGGAGCCACAGGACCCTAGCCTCCCTGCCTCTGGTCTGCTGTTTCCTCCCATTGCAGAGGTCAGCCACTGCCCCTGGTCCCTAGCTGCTCCTCTATGCTGGTGATAAATCCTGTCTTTGTTTCCCCTCTGACCCAGGCCCCAGGCAGGCTGGGGGTCAGAGGCTGGAGGAGGGGTCACTGTGGAGGAGGGGAAGTTACAGGGGAGTGGGAGGAGAAGATGGACAGGAGCAGCTGGTGGGCAGGCTTGGGGGTGGGCAGGGAGGGGATGGGGCTTCTGGATTGTAGGATCTTGGACATTCCAGCAGGCCTGTATTCTAAATGAGACAGGATTCCCGGGAAGATACAGAAGACACAGATTCAAAGGCTCCTTGCAGCATCAGGAATTGAGACAGGGTGGTGTGGGGAGGTTGGTTTGGGGTACCTCACAGAAAGAGGCCATTAAAAGAAATTGGAGAAATAAGGTATTGCAAGAATCATCCTTATCACCCCGAGACCCCTACCACATCCATGTGCCATGATGCATCGTCTGCCACGGTGAGGGAGCCCAGCAGAACCAGCCTGGCCCTAGCCTGCCCTCTCCCCAGCAGCCTTCTCTTGCTTTAACCATCCCGTTTCCATCTCTCTGTTCTTTTTCTCTACTCCCAGCCTTTCTTTGTGTCAGCTTCTCTGTCTCCAAGTGGGTTATCCGAGCTTTCTGCTAACTCTCAGCCTCAGCCCCTGCCTCTTTGTCTCTTACTTGCTTTTTCTTCCTCATTGTGTTTCCAGTTCCATCTTCTTTTTTTTTTTTTTTTTTTTTTTTTTTTGTCTTTTTCGTTTTTACCGGTACCAGGGATCGAACTCATGACTGCCTGCTTGCAAGGCAGGTGCTTATGCCGCTGAGCTAAATCCCCAGCCCCAAGTTCCATCTTCTTATACCCTTTCTCCCCACTTCCTTGGACTCCATCTCTCCTTTTTCTGCCACCCTTCAATCCAGCCATCGCCTCAATTCCTTGTCCCACCAGGAACTGAACCACTAAGGTCTGGCTCGGTGGAGCCCTTTGGGAGTCAGACAGGTTGCAAGGAGGAAGGGGAAGGACAAAAGCAGCTCCTTGGGCTTAGTGCCTGCGTTGGTGGGAGGTCTGAGAATCATACTGTTCCCTACGGTACTGACACAGAGAGGGAGGCTAGGAGGTGAGCAGAGAGCGAAGCATAACTAAGGGAAGAGAGACAAAGAGACTGATAGAAAACACACAGGAGGGCAAACACAAGAGCAAGGCAGGCATTCAGTGTTCCTCATAAGAGTGTGTTTTAGGATGATCTAAAGGGAAGGGGCCGAAGGGCATCTACTGAACCGTATGAGAAACAGATCTAGAGACAAGGTCTGGAAGCCAGTCTAAGAAACAAAACTGCAGTGTCTGCCAGGCAGCCACCATCCTGGACTCTTGCCTATCTATCTAGAGGTTCTCAGAGGCCTCTTGCTCCTTTGCAGACAATCTTGAAATGCTGGTTCCCTCCTCAGCCTCTTCTGTGGCCACCTCCCTTCCTCCTCTCCTGAGAATGACATCAGCTCTGGCTGCCACTGTCCTCAGCCCTTCTGCTGATGTACTGTCCCATGGGTGCAAAAGAGGCCAATCATCCCCACCCCACCCATTCACAGCCCAGCACCCTGGGAAAGGGAGGAGGCTGGACCAGGATGGTGGCTGCAGGATGTGGTGGGAAAAAGGGGGCATGGACACCAGGAGGAGCAAGAGGAGCCTAAAGGGGCACTTGAGGAGAGGCTGTAGCAGTAAATCACCCGGTGGGGGGCTCCCTCTGCCTGAGCTCAGTGGGGTGGGGAGAGGATAGACATAGGGGAGGGTGGGGAGAATCTCGGAATCGCCACATCTGGCAGGCAGGTGTCTGGCACGGTTCAGGCTGTAGTCACTTTCCCAGCCAAAGGGAAAGAAGGGAGAGAGGGGAGGAGGGCCCTCTTGGGGTCCCCTGGGGAAGAGGGGAAAGCTCACAAACAGAAAGTCAGAGGCCCACAGTCTGACAGAGAGCAAGGGAGGGAGATCTTCAGACTCTTGCTTCCCATCTCTGCTCCATTTGGTGCCGAGGATGGGTTTGCTGTTAGTCCCAAAAGAAAATTGCTGGCCAGGGCACCAAAGTTCTGTTCCTAGTGGGAAACAGAAGACAGAAGAAACTGAAATTCTGAGAATTCCAAATTAGAGAGCTGGATAGAACTCCACTCTGTACATCACTGCTGGTCACCAGCTGTCAACTCTGGCCCTGACACACTTCCCCAGGGCCATTCGGGGTGACGAGAAGGGAGGCCAGGATGCTAAGCCTGGTCACTGCTTGTCCCCAGCTACAACAGGCAAAGACACAAGTGAACCTGGTCTTTCTCCTTGTACTCAAGGGTCCATATACCTGCTAAGGTTTCTGGGCCCAGGCATCCCACAGTTGCTGAGCCTAACAGCCAGGTTTCCACAGAGAAGCACGAAAGTCTAGACAATTGTAGGCTTCACTTCATGTTCTGATACTGCAGAAGTTCTCCACAGTCCTTTACCTTCCTTCTCTCATCCTTCCCTATCTGAGCTATTAACTCCCATCTCTCTTGCTTAATCCAGGAATTGCGGTCTCATTTCATGAGCAGTGGAGGTAACTGAGGAGACCCTTCAAATTGCAGAGGATGTGAAGGGCTCCTCACACACTACCCCCTCCTTAAAATTCTGCAGAGGAAGGGGGAAAGAAAACCAGCGCATTCTCCTGTCGCCGCGGCAACCATAAAACCCCCAGCTAAATCCATCTTGTGAGCTCACCGCCCCATTAAGATGCAGGGCCAGGCTCCGCGCCAGCCCAGCCACATTCATTTGTGCGAGTAAAGGTGGAGGAGGGGAGGGGAGCAGGCTCTGGAGGGACGGGGAAACGGCGAGAGGAGGTTATTTACACCACCGTCCTGACCTTCTGGAGCAGCGCTGGCTCCGATAAATAACCCGCTCAGTGCCGTTTCGATGCAGGCGTGGGAGGTGCAGGAAGGGAGAGGGGCTGGAGGAGTGCCCCCACGCAGGTGCGCGTCTCCGGGTTACTAATGACTGAGGCGGGAGCAGGCAGCTGGCTTTGGGGGTGGTGAGGGGAGAACTCAGTTCCCTGAGACTCCCACTGAGAAAAATACCATCCCCACCCCACCCCTGGCGCCAATTTTCAGGCGAGGGGACTGAGAGATGCCAAGGAGGCAAACAGCCCCGTAAATTAGGCAAAGGGGAGGGGTGCCGGAGAGTCTCAGAGGTAGCAAAAATCTAAGATGGGGGGGGGGGTGGCTGGAGGAACAGGAGTAGCTGCCAAAAAGAGCGGAAGAGGCACAGAAACATCACACAAAGGCAGTTTGGAAAAAGAAATGTTTTATTCCCCTTTGCAGAGCAGTACAGGAAGGTGGCAGTCTCGATTCTGGACATCTCTTACAGGAAGGTGCCTCCTCAGATCCTTCATTGCTGGAGAGCTGCTAGCTGATGGGCTGGGCATAATGCTAGGTCCCAGAGAGGGCTTGTAAGACCTTTTCGTGGGGAGGAGTTTTGAGTCAAGGGGAAAGATCAGACCCAAAAGTAGGTGTTCCACTGTCTGTTCTGGGGAAACCCAAGTCCCAAGAGAAAGGCACCTATCTCAGCCATCTAGGGAAGTGAAGACCCCAGATCCACAGCCTTTTTACCTAAGGCTGAGGCAGAGAGTATAGGGTTAAGTGGCCAGAGACCCAAGACAGAGGAACAGATACACTCCAGGGAGGTGAGGAGACCAAGCCTCAAGGCCCAAGCCCTAAGTCCTCCTTCCTGCTCAGATGCAGAAACTCTTCTTTTGGAGATGAGAGCGGAGTTTTAGTTCCAGTGTGTGACTGCTCCAGGGCAGAGTCAGGACAAAGCAGGCAACAACCCCACAGGTAGTAAGGGGGGAGCTAAGACAGTGGACAACAGACTGACATCCAGAATAACCACTCACAGACCACAGCGGTTTGGAAGCTGCATGCCTGAATGTGGGTACAGAGAAGTTTTAAAAGCCCTATCCAACATTTAAATCACAATTTCTGCCACTCTATCCCCTTCCTTATGAGCTGTTCCTCGATGTTCTTTCCAAGGCAGAGGGCAGAGCAGCAAGAAGAAACAGGAGGGTTGCTGAGGCCGGTAAGTGGGGCGAGACTGGCTATATCCCCACCTGTCCCCATCCTGACACCCTACAGAAAAAGACACCGCCCGCCCCTTGCTGGACGTATGTGCTGGTGCTGTGTAAAGGCAAAGGTGAAAAACACTCAGCACATTCTCCTGCTTTGATCCGGAGTGTGGCTACAGCAAAGGGCAACGAAGGTGAGGAGAAAGTGTGGGGTAGATGTGGAGGACGGAAGGGGTGTTTCCCCTGCCCAGTATCTAAATCTGCTGGGAGGAAAAGGAAGTGTGTTAGGGGTAGGGGGACAGCACTAGATGGGGTGGAGATTTAAGGATCCCTGTGATCCCTAAGATGACCCAGACTGCATCAACAGGGGGCCTGGACAAGAAGTCATAGCAGACATATGGGTTTTTGAGGGGTGAAGAGCCAGGCACAGGACGGTCTTCACCGTAGGAGTGACCACTTGATCTGTTCTTTCGCCGACTGCAGCACCTGTGGAGACAAGGGCAGCACAGGGGGAGGCTTGCTGAGGGGCAGGGTGGGAATCAGGTTTTCTCTCCCTTCATCTGCCTTCTCTGTCCTTAGAATGGGGTAGGGGAACAGGAAGAAGCTCTCTAAGGCCCTCAAAGATTGTCAATCTGAGAAATTAGCCCCAAATTCAAATGGGGGTGGTGGTGAAAAGAGACATATTCACAAGAAAAGAAAAAATTGGGGGTTACTGGGCATAGGTTAAAAAGGAGAGATATATTCCTTTGGGAGCATACCATGGGGGTAAAAAAAAAACTCCTCTTGTAGTGGCATACACCTATGATCCCAGTACTCAGGAGGCTGAGGCAGGAAGATCACAGCAAGTTCAAGGCCATCCTGGGCTACATAGTGAGTTCAAGACCAGCCTGAATTACAGAGCAAGACCCTGACTCAAAAAAACACAAAACAAAAAAACCACAGAATGCTCCCTTGTCCCCTGAATCAGGTAGATAGTTTATCTGCACTCAGAATTGCAGGATGAGCTGCAAAACCTGCATATTCTGGAATACACATTTCTAGCTTAGCCCTCATTTGAATAATAAAGAGTGTGTGTGTGACACACACACACAGACCATCTGCTTAAGGCAAGCCTCTGCTGGGGAATAAATCACTGGATGAGGCATCAGGCAGGGAGGGTTTGAGGGGTACAGAGCAAAGATGACAGCCACTGCTCACGGCAACTGAGGAGCTGGAAGTGGGGGCGGGGCACTGGACTGTGGGGTCAGAAGCCCAGTTCTCTAGAACATGGAACACGAGGGGACCAAGGACGGTGTCTATCTTTGATCTCATTCCGACTTAGCAGGTTGGGCTGGAATGCTATTCCAGCTTCTTCACTGACCCTGTCCATGTAGAGAGGCAGAAAGGTGAAAGTCATACCTGAGAGACCGTCTGCTCAGTGAGGGGGACATCTTCACCCTGTGGCACAGAGACAAGCTTTTAGGTGGGTGTCTGGCAGTGGAAAAAAAAAGCTGGTCCTTTAAACGGAAGCAAAGGGCAGATACCCTAAACTTTTCAGTCCCTTTCAGGAACTGAAATTTTACTTGGCTACCAGGACTATGAACACAAAAGGGTCATTTCATCCATGCTACATTTTAAGGCAGGGAGACTTCTTAAAAGATTTATTCCATTCCAAGTAATCAGCAGGTTATCTGATCTTCAACTCCCTCAACTCGGGAGTGGGAGACCTGATTCCCTAGTCAGAGGAGACCTTTCCTGAATATCAATATCACTAGGGAAAGGATGAGGGGGAGCCAGGGGTAGTTTAATGGATCCTGCAAGGCCTGATGGGTAACGACAGCATGTTAATTTGAAGAAATAAACTGCTGCAACAGCAGCCTGAGAAGGGAAAGGGGGAGTCAGTGGGGGGGCCCTCTCTCTTGCCACATAGAGACATATGTTAGAGGAGAAGATTAAACTATGCAAATGGAGCCCACGGCAGTTAAGGGAGAAGATTTGCCATTACCCAGCACTGTCAGACTTCACTCTGTGGAGGTCAGAGCTGGGACATTTTGTGAATAGGGAGGTTTGGGTTGCTCAGACATCTCTGCAACCCCACAATTTGCAGGCGCACTCTCCTGTACCCCACGATGTCCCCAACAAAACTGGAACCTTCTGTAGTTAACTCTGGGGACCCTTTCTGAGACTACTAGCACCAAAGAGGACTAAAGTTCTGGAAATTAAACGCTTCTGGCTGATCCAATGGCAGTGGGTTATCAGAACTTACTAACATTAGTGTCACTAAAGTTGGTATACACCCCCCCCCCCTGCTAAATTTGACTGGCTTTTTAAAAAAAAAAAAATTAAGCACTTCCTAATGGAGATTATCCTGCTACATAAAATGTTGAAAGAGATAAAAGACACTCCTCTATTTCAGACAACTGGATCCATCCTCAAAGAGAGAATAAGCCAACCTCCGGTTTCTCTACAGTTTCAGAAACCTGAATATGAAAGTTTTGTTAGCATTCATTCCATGTGTATACAGCAGGTGCACTTTGTGCAAAGAGTGTATGAGATGTTAGGTGGCACAACAGGGGCAGAATAAATTCGTTCTGCTTGGTTTCTTTGGGACACTGATGAGAAGGGAAAGAGAAGGCCGTATGAACTCCATCAGCCCTGTCCCTTAGCCACATTCAGCAGGTGTGACTCCGGAGGGTGTTTGTGGGCAGATGGGGGATTCAGGGAAAAAACGTTCCTGCTTACCCTTAATGCCACTCGGTGTACCACTTGCTGTGGATCACTCTCTAGGATCACCCTACAAAGAAGAGATCATCATTGTTCAATCTGTCCTGAAGGACCAACTTATTATCGGGATATGACTTGGAGGCACTCAGCCCACCTGACATATGACAGGAGCTACCTCCCCAGCCCAGATTTAGGCAGATGAAAGAACTTACCCTCCATCCACGATTTCATCCACAGCCAAGAAAAGCCCCTCCATGTTCTCCAGCAGAGCTCGCTTTTCTACATTTTTCCTAAATCCCCAAAAGAAAAGAATAATCAGCCTGTGTGTAAAATGTATCCTAGGACATTATCTGGACAGGGGATTCTAAACTAGACCAATACATGTTTCTACCAATCAGACAGATAAGTGAATAAGGTGAAGAACAGTTTAGTTAATCCACGATATACCTCTTCCTGTTGTTTGCTGAGTAAGGATCAGGAATGTCAAGGAGAGTTTAAAAAGCACTAAATAATATCTGACTAGTCACAGGCTGATTATCTAAAGCTATTATTTACCATCATTCCTTTCCTACCTGCCACAATGTTGCTCATGACACTGCTTATCAACAGATATGAGTGGGTAGAAAAAAGGAAATAAACAGAGCTAAAACTCAACCTGGGGGGTGTGGGAGGTAAGGAGAGGTGGACTACAAACTCTATCCACACTGCAGCGCTGACAAACCTCCTAATCCTCTCTGCTTTTCCTCTTCCCCCTCCCTCACCAGCTCTGCTCAGGCCCTGAAAAGAAGGCCTGCAAGAACAAGAACGGTGGAGTCTGCAGCCACCAGCCACAGATCCGGTGGTTGGTGCATGTGGCCTGTCACATCTGTCAGTTTTGACTTTTTCACTAGATTACCCGAAATGAAGTCTATTCATTCACCTGGCTAGGAAATAAATCATCCCCTTCCTGAGGAAACCTGAGCCATTTGCCCTGTTGACGTCGTGGGGCCGAGCGCCTGCTGTTCTGCTCGGGATGGCTGTCTGCACAGGGCTCACATGGGAGCTGCCTAGGGAATGACGATCAGAGCCCTGAATGTTTTCAGGAAAAGTATCATATCTTTTCTGCCTCCCTACATGGAAAACAGTGGGCGGTAGAAAGGGAGAAGAGGCTAAATGGCACATTGTTCTTGCTCTATAGACGAGAAAAACTAAGAGCCAGGAGTGGAAACTGGGAGTGTTGCTTCCATCCCCAAGGTAGAGACATTGTGTCTGGGGCACTGCCTTACTACACTTTCTCTGTTGCAAAGAATGGAGCCCAGCAAACCACCAAAGGCATGCAGATCCCTAAGACAGCCTCTGGGGATCAGCAGGGGAATCTCCTTCCTCAGAAGCAGAATTACTCTTCAGGAAGGACATGCTCTCCATCCAGCTCTCTCCTTCTGTGTGAATTACTATGAAGCAGTGAGCCCAACCATTTAAACTCAACTTCCGGAGCTTCTGCCAATCCCCCACAAATCCCTAAATGTCAAGAATAAGGTTAGGGCCTGAAAAATACTTTCTCTCCCAAACCAAGATCAAGAATGGCTGCTCAAACTGGTCATGGTGGGGCACGCCCAATCCCAGCACTTGAGAGGCTGAGGCAAGAGGACTGACTTGAGTTCGAGGCCAGCATGGGCTACGCAGTGAGTCCAGGCCAGCCTGAACTACAAAGCAAGACCCTGTCTCTAGAAAATATAGATAGATAGATAGATAGATAGACAGAATAGCTGAAGCAGGAAGATCATGAGTTCAAGGCCACCCTGGTCTATATAGTAAGACTGTGCTCAAAACAAAAATATTTTTTAAAAAGGAATGGCTGCTTACCTTAGCATCTGACTCAAGGAGTCAAAGAGGCAGTTCAGAACAGCCATAAGCATAAGCTGTTGGGAGACAAAGGAAGTAGAAGGCAGTTCAAGGCTCTGAAAACTGCTACCCAAAAATAAAACCATTCATTTCATTAAGCATAAAAATATATCACAGGACCGAGAACATACGGTAGAAATAAGAGCAAAACAGGAAGAAACTGAGTTTCTCACAGAAGTGAGTTCTGCTATGTGGTCCCACAATCTGATGTCTCCTTTGGCCAGAAGTTCAAAAGAGCTTTTCTGTCATAGTTCTCTATGGGTTTTACCAATTCTCTACGTGCCATCCGATGATGTAGGTAGAAAGAGCCATCATACACTATGCAAGGTCAGAGGAAGGCAGAACTAGTGGAAAGACATAGCCTCTTTCTTTTATTTTTTAATCTTTCTTTTAATTTAATTTTATTTATTTTTTGGTGCTGGGGATTGAAGCCAGGACCTGAACTATGCTCAGTATGAACCTTACCACTAGCTCACTGTCACTGCCCAAGCATGGGTCTTTGAGTCAGCCCCTAAAATGAGATTCTTAAAAGAAAGCTGGGCTTGGATCCCAGCTAACCCATTTCTACATGTGCGACCCTGAGAAAATTACAGTAGTATTTTGAACCACATGAAACCACATGTAACTGACACTTGCATAACTTAACAAATACAAGTAAATTTATTATATGGTTTCTCATGGCTTGGTTTCCTCCTCGATAAACGACGGTACTAATGTCTACAATTTTAAAAAAATAACAGCTTAGTAGAATGTGGGTCTCTCAAACTTTTACTTTTGCTGGAGGATTATTTTTACCTATCTGCTTTCACAGAAGCTGCTACTACTTGTGGTAAACAATTTTCTCTACCCACCAGAAGCCAATCAGGACTACACCCACAGTCCCATCCAAACTATATGACCCAGTCATCTGTATGGCTGCAGGATGAAACTGTGTCCGATAAGTAGTCCACCCCAGTCAAGTATGGACCTTCATAGCTGGAGCCAGTATCCCCCACAACCCTGACCACGCTTCAGAAATCCGTTTTTAAAAAAAATATGCGGGCTGGACGTGGTGGTACACACTTGTAATCTGAGCATTCTGGGAGACTGAGGCAGGAGGACTAGCTAACCTAGACAACTTAGAGAACTCTGTCTCAAAATGAAAATTTCTTCTAAAAAAGAGATGCGGGGCTGGGGATTTAGCTCAGCAGCATAAGCGCCTGCCTTGCAAGCAGGCAGTTGTGAGTTCAATCCCAAAAAAAGAAAGAAAAGAAAAAAAAAAGAGATGCTTTTTTTTTTTTATCGGTACCTAGAATCAAATTCATGACTGCACACTTGCAAGGCAGGCGCTTATGCACTGAGCTAAATCCCCAGCCCCAAAAATGAGATTCTTAAAAGGCATGGGGCATAGCTCTGTGCACAGGTCCTAGCATCAATCCCCAGTCTCACACACACACACACACACACACACACACACACACACACAAATATCAAAAACAAAACACAGGATCCAGGTGTGGTGGCCCATGGCTATAAACCCAGCTTATTAAGAGGCTTCACAAATCTAAAGTGACTGGGCACTTTAGTGAAACCCAAACTGGGTATGGTGGCACAAGCCTGTAAACCCAACACTCAGGAGGATGAGGCAGGAAGACCCTTGCAAATTGAGAGGCAGGAGGATCATTGTCAGTTCAAGACCAACCTGAGCTACAAAGTGAGCTCAAATCCAGCCTGAACTGCATAGACACTGTCTTTTTTTTTTTTTTTTTTTGAGACTAGGTCTTAAAAACACAAAACAACATGGGTCTGGGGATGTAGCTCAGTGGCATAAGCGCCTGCCTTGCAAGCAGGTGGTCGTGAGTTCGATCCCCGGTACCAATTAAAAAACAAAACAAAACAAAAAAAAGACAAAACAACAAAATAAAATTTGAAAAGCTAGGGAAGCAGCTCAGTAACAGAGCACTTGCCCAGCATGCATGAAGTCTTATGTTCAGTACCCTGGGAGAGAAGGGTAGCCACTGTGCTCATCACTATATGATCTCAGCCCTCCAGAGGCCAAGGCCAGAGGATCACAAATTCAAGGCCACTCTGACAGCAAGCCCTATCTCAAAAAGGAAAATAACAACAATAAACACACACACAACATAAAACACTGATTTTTTTTTTTCTAGAAGTCACCAACAGAGAAAACACTGATTTTTTTACATATAGATTTTTTTTAAAAATTGGGAAAACTATCTTTCTAAAACGAAACATTTGCAAGACCATGTTTGTGCATCTAGTGGGACCTTGGACTACTCTGCTAGACTTGTCAGAAGTGAGAGAGATGCGGTTCTCCTAAGCCCAAAACTGGTGGCTGTGTTCCGCCTGCAGCTTAGGAAGCAGGATCAGACCACAAAGAGGGGTGGGGATTCTCACCTCATTTTCATAGGAGCTGCCGATCACATAGAAATAGAGATCAATACTGCTCTTATACACCACCGTCAGGCCTTCCAAGAGCGCGATTTCACCTGCGAGGGGGTGGAAACAGGAGCAGCCCGATGAGGAGGTGAGAAAGCAGAACGGAAGGAGTCACCGTGAACTCCAGGCAGCCGCTGCTTGGGGCTGAGGTAAGAAGGCTGTAATGACCTCCAAAGCCCAAAATTGACCTATATTTGGGTGGTTAGCAGAATGGAAGTCTAAACTTGGGGAGTCTTAAGGTATCTTCTCCTTTATCCTCCCTTGTCATTCCTACCCGGTACACATATCTCCCTCCGTGTATAGGAGACAGGACACTAGTCGATCCTTCGGAGGTGAAAATGCAGAGCGGTCACCTTTACAGACTTCCATTTACCTGCCCTAATGGATGCGGTACAATAAGCAGCGCTGCAGTTAAATTTGTCAAGTGAGGCTCATAAATCCAGGGACTAGACAGGGAGCTAACAGCCAACCTTCTAGCACGGTATTCCCGCGCGAGGTACACTCACCTCCCCATTACATTTCCAAAGAGTTTATTATATGAGAGGAGGAGGGAAAAAAAGAAAAAGGAGGCAGAGTCATTTTATCCTTTTTCTGCAGTCTGGCTGCCACCCTCTCCCCACCGTGGTTCCCCCCTACACATGGAGTAGCGAAAGGAAAATGACCTACTGTCAGTGCGATGGGTCTTGTTGAAAATGTTCTTCTCAAAGGCCTTCTGCTCCTTGACACTGGGGTAGGTGTCGTCATAGTACTGGTGAGAGGAAAAGGAGACAGAGATGGGTCATTAGAGCAGGGAGCCCAGAATGATTAGTGACTATATATTGCCCTGCGATCTTGATTTCTCTCCTTCGAGGCATGAGACAAGTGAGAAACACTGACACGGAGATGGGACTGCAGAGGCAGGGAATGGGCAATGAGTAATCAAATTTTTAAAAAAAGAGGGACTCTGGGGTAAGCAACTCCACCTCACACTTGAGACAATCGAAGGAGATGAGGCTCTGCTCCTGTTTGCATCCTAGGAGAGAACGATATTCTCACCAAGTGCTGCACAGGAGCTGCCCGGGCCAGGCAGTGGTGCCAGAGGAAATGCCAGCCATGAGAAGTACAAAGCACGCCTTGGCCACAGCCCCACGTATGAAGCTGAGAAACAGGAGAAGACTGGAAATCTCCTCCAAAACAAGGCAAGCCTTGCCTCAGGAGGCCTCCCCATCTCGGCTTGCTTTTCTACAAGCTGGAAGAAGCAGGGAGCAGCCTAGCACATCTCTGCGCCCACTCCCAAGCTCTCCCCAGCCAGGGGGTGGAGATACAGGCTGCTAAGCCCTTCTGCTCTTTAGGGGCCAATCCGTCGCAGTCAGCTGAAGACCTATGACAGCTCTGGCATTTAGTAACTGGATAACTGTTTCAAAAGGTGTCCTGCATAGTTACATCCAATTACAGGGAGGAACAGCTGGTGAATTCTAAACTAATCTCTACCTGCTGATTGATTTATGCTGCACTTGCCCGGATTTCATACACCAGGGACAGAAGAAATTTCTACTGGAGGGGGAGAATATGTAGGGAGAAGAGAGGTGTCCTTTCTCTCCTCTTTCAGTAGATTCAAAGTTGCAAACACTGCACCCAGGTGCAACTGAAAATGTAGGGCTAGAATCCTGAAACTGTAAGAAATTTCCTGAGAGATCCTAGGCAGGAAGGTGACAAGAACAAGTAACACAGCCAGGGTGCTTCCAGTATCTACATACTGCTTTGTTGAGAAACTAAGGTTTTTAGGGGCTGGGGATTTAGCTCAGAGGCATAAGCACCTGCCTTGCAAGCAGGCGGTCGTGAGTTCAATCCCCGGTACCGATAAAAAGTAAAAAGACCAAAAAAAGAAAGAAAGAGAGGAACTAAGGTTTTGACGTGGCTCCCTGCTTTGATGCGTGTAACAAAGACGGTCAAAGTCTGAGGGCAGCAAGTAAGGAAACAGTAGAATGAAGGTTAAAAAAAAGAAATGTAGGGGGCTGTAGATTTAGCTCAGCGGCATAAGTGCCTGCCTTGCAAGCAGGCAGTCGTGAGTTCGATCCTTGGTACCGATAAAAAGGAAACAGACAAAAAAAAAAAAAGAAACAAATGTAAAGCCCAGTGTACTGGTGCACACTTCTAGTCCCAGTACTTGAAGAGGCTGAGGCAGGAAGAGCACCACAAGTTTGAGAGCAGCCTGGACTATACAGTGAGATCCTGGTCTCAAAAAAACCCCAAATAAATAAATAAATGAATAGTACTGTATCCTTTCATGATAGCACCCCCTCCTGCTCTAGGTATACTTTTCCCTCCTGTCTTACTTGGCTCAAACTTGCTCTGCGGAGCCTGTATTTTTTCTCCCTCTACCTTTAATAAATGTAAAACTTTGCTACCAAAATAAATAAGTAAATAAAAAGGGCTGGAAATATACATTAGTGTGAAGGCCAGGTGTTCAAGCCCCAGCACTGGAAAACTACTAGAGTAGTTTAGATACAACGGAAGAATCTTTGAGCTGGGGATATCATTCAGTGGTAGGTCACCATGTAGAAAAAAAGAGGATGGAAGAATTTTCTTGTTCTTGTTTTTTTTTTTTTTTTTTTTTGTCTTTTGTTTGGAGATAAGATCTCAATCAATTTGCAGTTCAGGCTGGCCTTGAACTCACTTTGTAGCCCAGGATGGCCTCAAGCTTGCAGTCATCCTCCTGCTTCAGCCTCCTGAGTGCTGAAATTACATGCATGTGCCACCATGCCCGTCAAGTCTGTGTGTGTGTGAGTGTGGGAGGAGGTCTGGAAATCAAACTCAGGACCTTGTCTTGCTAGGCAGGTGCTATACCGCTGAGCTATATCCCCGGCCCAGAAGTTTCACAATTATACTATTGAAGAATATGAGTTAATAGGACTAGTTCTAAAATTCAAACTGAAGAATATTTTTGTTCTGCTCCTAAATGAATTTGACATGGACTCTCACCTTGGCAAAAAGTCGATCCCCATCATTGTCCAGAATCAGGATGGCTTTCACAGTATACAGGGAGGGTTCCTGAGGAGATAGAAATGGATCTTCAGTTGTGAAAGGGCCCCCAGCTACCAGCAAGGCAGACACCTTCTTCCCCCTAGATCCACTGGGGCTACAGGGGATGGAGGGGCTTCCAGTGTTTACCAATCCCAACACTGTTGTGTTCAGACACTGCCCACTGAGAATAATCAACTAGCAAGTGAACTGCACTGAGGGAGGGAGCATCTCAACAAAGGACTCCAAAGCAGCACCAGAGAAACAGTCTCTGACTCACAGAGGGCTTAATTTAGGTAGGTCCTGCTGTCATTTCCAAATTATTTGGTATGGTCGTTTTCCAAACTACCCTCCCTCCCTGGTGTCCCATGCACAGGTGGGTGTGGGATGTGACCAGATTAATTCATAGGCACTGCACGAGGCCATGTGAAAACGGGTGAATGCTTCAGTGTACCTGGAAGTTTCTGCAGTCCCAATGCAGCAGCAATGCAGAGGCATAAAGCAAGCCTTCCCTACACCACCCACATACTGAGCAGAAGGAAACAAGTGTTTGCAAGCACACGGACACACACACCACTTCTCAATACAGCCTAGAGAGAAAGACATCATCCCCAAACTCCTGTGAAACACAATCCCTCCACTATGCCTGAACCACTACCACTTAACCCAAGACAGAAGTCAACCTGAATTTGGGGGTATAAGATCATGAGATCTGAGAAACAACCTAAGCCATGGAGATATTAATCAGGAGGGATTGAGGATGTCGCTCAGTGGTACAGTGTGTGCTTAGCATGTGCAAGACCTGGGTTCAATCCCTAGCCAAAAAAAAAGAATGGAAGTGAGGAGGCTGGTCAATTTAAAGGAATCACAGCCTTGGCCTTAATACTTACATTTAATTCCCTTCTCAACCACAACAGGGTACAAAAACCGCAGTACCCTGTTGCTCCCTCTTCTCTATACTGGTTTGCTTCTAGAAAACCAGATAAGTAGGAGAGAGCAAAGAAGGACAGGGAAGGTAGTGGGGTTTATGGGTGGAAGGTATCTGCCACCCCATGTTCCTTGGCTTTCTAATCACCATGGTGTTGCCTGTGCTGTGAGACCAGGCTGCTGCTCAGCTACCTCTCTTCTGGCCCTCCTTAGAAAACCATCAGTCCCCAAAGGAGCAAATGCATTCCCTGAGCATGTGTTTAATGAAGACCATGGCAAAGGGGAAAGAATCATTGCCAGAATCTACAAATGTAAACTGGCCCATGAGGCTCCAGAAGATGTATGGGAAGACTCTTCGGGCCAGTGCGGCTCAGGAGAGGGTGTGGCAGGGATTAGGAATGGGAGTAACAGGAACACAGTCTTTTGACAGGGCAATAAGGGATGTCTGTTTTCTTCACCTGTATTCTCAGGGTAGCAAGTATCCAAAACAATGTCTGATACATACTAAACTCTCAATATATGTTCAATAATTGAGGGAATAAGTACTTATGGGACCTGTAATCATTAGATTTCCACACATAAGTGGATTTTCCTTTTTTTTTTAGTACTGGGAATGGAACTTACAATCTCATCCTTGCTTGCCAGGCAAGCCCTGTACCACTGAGCTATATTCCTGGTCCTTTGTCTTTTTCACATGGGTTTTGCTGTGTGGTTCAGGCTGACCTTGAATTCACTTTGTAGCCCAGATTAGCCTTGAACTCTCAGCCATTCTCCTGCCTCAGTCTCCTGAGTACTGGGATTAAGACATGTGCTACCATACCTAGATGAATTTTCTTTTTTTAAACATTTTGTGTCTTTTTCTTTTTTATCAGTACCAGGGATTGAACTCACAACCACACACTTGCAAGGCAGGCGCTTAAGCCACTGAGCTAAATCCCCAGCCTCTCGGCTGAATTTTCTTTTTTTTTGTCTTTTTTTTGTTTGTTTTTTTGTTTTTTATCGGTACCAGGGATCGAACTCACGACTGCCTGCTTTCAATGCAGGTACTTATGCCGCTGAGCTAAATCCCCAGCCCCTCGGCTGAATTTTCTAATGTGACCATTTTGGACACTATTTCTACCAACCTTACTTTCTCCTCCATATATTTCTGGCTACCATATATATACTGCATTCTGGAATAAACCACACAGAAAGAACAACTCTCTCCAAGTAAGGAACTCTGTTGTCCAGCACAGGCAAGTCCTCTAGAGTCTAGCCCGAAAGATCACAAACAGAATTAACTTTCCTAACTCCTAGTTACTCACAGATGGATCTTCCCATATAAAAAGAACAAAGATGTGTTATATACATGTGCCAACTCAGCAAGATGAATGTAATCATTAGGAATGCACTGCAGAATATGTATGAATAAAAAAAACCTTAAAGATCTTCCCATAAAGCAGGCTCAGTTCCACAGCAACTTGTCAGTTTACCAAGAGGGAAACACCAACAGGAATGAGCTTCTTTGAAGGAAGAAAAGAGATCCAAATGAATGGAAATTTAGAAGAAATAGTTTTTCCTATCACCTTTTCCTGGAAATCCTTGGCTTTGTCCCTTTACCCGCATTCACAGAAACCTTAGAGAATAGCCCACTGGCTTAATCAGGATTGTAATCTGGCATCGGTGACCAGTGTTTCCAGCCAGTCTGATATCCCTAGAAAGAACAGGAACTCAAAGAAAAGTAAAGCCCTAGTGGCCACCAGCCAACTGGGAGAGCCAATGTTCTAGGGCCCACATGGTATGAGTGTCTGAATAGCAACACTGGCAAAAGAGATACACTCCTGGACTCTGCTCCTAGCTCTCTTTATTGGCTTCCTAGAAGATGAAAAGAAACAAGAGCCAGGTGTGGTGGTCCATGCATACAATCCCAGCACTTTGGGAGGTTGAGGCAGAAAGATGATGTCTCAAAATTATTCAAAAAGGGGGAGGGGCTAGTCAGCAGATATAGCTCATACAATGGCTCTGGGTTCAATCCTCGATCCTGGAAATCAGCAACAAAAAAACCCAAACCCTGGGTCTTCCTGAGCAGAAGAAAGACAGGCTGATGAAAGCAAGGAGAGAGACCAGGGCTGATGGCTCAGAGCTGTGGAAGAGCAAAGATGCTATTACAGCAAAGGCCAGCCATTTCAAACTTCCCAAGGAGAACCACAATTAGACAGGAGCTTCCACACCCCACTCTGCTACCTCCGAAGCTTCTCCCGGCCTTCTACTGCCACCTCCTCCAGTGGCTTCCCCTTCAGCCTGGGGCCTTTACCTCTTAGGAGTTCATACCATAAAACCAGCCAGTTTAAAGGCTCCAGAAGCCATTACTGGTAATGTAATTTCATGTTAAGTTTTTGCAAAGGGAAAGTTTATAAATAACTCCCAGCTACTGAGAAATCGCTTCCTGGACAATGGACTAGGCTTGACCTTGTAACACATTACATGTTGATTGCTGAGAAAGACCCTACAAGCTTAAGGCCATTGTCAAAAGATTTAAAAGGTCTATTCTTCCCTCCCACTTCCCAAATGGGTAGCTGCTGGAAAGCTTTCGAGACAAAGTTCTGTGATGCACTGACTTTCAGAGAGCCACAGCCTGAGTGTATAACAGAACTTCACCTCAAATGCTAACGGCGCCTGGAAATGATGCATTGGCAGGCTGGTTTGTGGGAGGAGGTACAGCTTGGATAGATTTTTCATGAGTGGTTTTATTACCGAGAAAACTAGAATGCACTCAAGACAGCTAAAACACCACTAAACAAGCATCTAGGCTGCTACAAAAGGAGCTGTGCTCTCAATCAGGGTTTGTGTAGCCTGGTGAAAAACATCACCTCCCAGAACTCTCTCCTCTGCAGAAGAGGACCAGAGTGCAAGAGCCATTTCCAGTGCTGCCCCCTGTGGGCCTTCTAGGTGACCTGCAGCTGCCTGGGATCTTGATCTTTAGCAAAAATAAAAGAGGAACTCTGAATAAAAACTACTTGTGTATCTTTAAGTGAAACTTATAGGCTCTGAAAAACAAAAAACACTGAATTAAGTCTTTTTACAATACATTTATGAGGAAACTCTGGAATAAGATTACAGTACTCTACAAAATATTGATGGTTAAATAGTGTTTAGAGCAGGTAGACGGTATGTGGGGAACGGGTATAACTAATTTGATTCTTTCAGGGGGAAAAAAAGCCAAGCCTTTATAGTTATGTTATTCCCAGAGCTGAAAGGGCACAAATAAAAATCTGACTGAAAAAATAAAAATAAAAAAATAAAATTTTGACTGAGATTTCTGGAAAGCTCATTTCCTCCTAAGGAAGAAATGTTAGGACTGACTGACAAAAGGAGCATTCTAGCTTAGCAATAGGTCTTAACAATTAGAAACTGTAACAAGATGCTCTTTTCTCAATCCTATTCACGAAGTAAAACCAAAAATAAAAACAAAGCAAAACCAAGACAGTAAAACTAGAAGATATCATGTGCAATGATGCTGCACACTGGTAATCAGTTACTCAGGAGGCTGAGGCAGGAGGAACATAAGTTCAAGGTCAGCCTGGACAATTTTAGCAAGCTCTTGTCTCATAATAAAATTAAACAAACAGACAAAAAGAGATGGGAACTACAGTTCAGTGGTACAGCACCTGTGTAGCATGTGTGAAGCCCTAGGTTTGATTCCCAGTTGCCTCTGCCCCCACCAACACTAAGAGACTCCTAGGTACCACGACCTGGTCCATACGGTATTTTGTTTCCTAATTCTACTAACTTTTTTTTTTTTTTTTTTTAAGTTAAAAGCTTCTCTGAGGTAAAGGGCTCAAATTTGCTAGCCACAAGTTATGGACTTTAGATGATAAAAATCAGCTGAAAGGCATTAAACAAGGATAAGCAGGTTCAAGCATAGCCCAGGAACTGGAGAGGCTCAGGTATACAGTGCATCCAAGCATGCACAAGGCCGACTCTGACTGTCAGCACCAAAAAGAAAAAAGCACAGCTCAGGAAAGAACAGGAGGCACAGGTATGACAGATTACCCAGCTGCCAGGAGACCAAATCGTAGTTATAAAGGAAACTGAACATAAGTCTGAGGAAGATCCAGCCGGGC